TCCTGATAAGTCCATGAGCCAAGTGCTGATGAATCTCCCGTTAATAGCAAATACATGGCCAAGAGTGAGGTTGGATAAGTGGAAAATTGATTCGATTTAGAATCTGGCTGTTGAATAAAGGCTGTTTCATTTCTGGTCGAGCCATTTGAAACTGATTGATATTTCGTAACGAGATTCCAGGGATTATTCAGATCGTCATTTTGAATAGGTTCGTTCGAATTATAACTTTGATCTGGGGTCAAAATTATATAAAAAGCATGTGCAAAGTCAATTATAATAATAAATAATATCAATAAAAATGAAATTATTCTCTTAGCCACACCAACAATAATAGTAAAGTTAGAACCAAAGTAATCGAGAGCTCGCAAGTAAGTTATAAATTTAAAGTATAAGAATAGATTTGATATAGACATTAGTGATGTGGAAGGTTTAGCTTCACATAACCAAACCAAAAGAAGGAAGTGTATACTGGAATAATGATTGCAGAAAGATCTGAAAATAATTTATATATACAATGTTAAAAATATAAAATATTTATTTTTTAAATTCTATCAAATCTTTATTCATACCAAACAAGTTCCATGTATTTAAGATATATTTTTTCGGATCCCAGATAAACTGTCTAATTTCATGAACAGTAAGTAATAAACCAAGAATCATGCTAATAGTTAAAAAAGTACTTCTTGTATCATTTGTTATAAAAGATGAAGACGATGTTGAACCTATTCCGAAAGTGAGCAAATACATGGTAAAAAATCCCCAAAAAGATAGTAAATGAATTTTCCAAAAGTATTCCATTTGAAATTAATTATTGCCTCAGCATTCCAACTATCGCAAAATGTTTGGTCAACTAAACTAACGAATGGACTGCTTTTTGGTCTTAGTAATTCCTTCCAGAAATCTGTAATCAGTTGGAAACTTTGTAATACCTGTATAAGGTACGATAAAATTAATAAATTTTTTCCTGTTTGATCTTTCTTATTAATAAAATGTATAAAGTTTTGAAAAGCTTGACTGAATTTCAAAATTAGTCTAATAACGTAACTTTCTTTAACACCATATACTTGAATGTCATGAGCTTCACTAGTATAACCGACCAATTTCATTTTATCGATTAAATCAGGTTGTCTGATAAATGTATTTGGAACAAGTGACGTAATAGAAATAAACTTTGAGTAAATAATAGGAAAATGTAAATTTCAATATAGTATCAAAGATTCTATTATTCATTGCAATATCTTTAGTTGGAATTTCAATTAACTTGTTAAAAATATCAACCAATACTACTCAAACTTAAAAGTTCATCAATTACTTCCTGTGGTGGAATTAAAGTAGCTGCCAAAATGTTAAGGGTGGATTTGGAAGGCTTTTACTCGTAAGAAAATTATCAATATCATAATAATAATATCTGAGAACAATATTTTTGATCGTTTCATTAAAGCCAAAAACGTGAATTACATTATTAAATAATATTTCATTATCATTACTTAAAATTTGAAGATGTTTAATGCAATGATTTTTCAAAACTAATTCAATTCCCTGTTGATCTTGCATTTGATCAATTTTATGAACTTTCAACGGATCATCATCATTTTCAAATTCCAGAGACTTTATCGATCTTATCCAAATTACTAATGATATCTTTTGAGTTACTGAAACATGAATAAAGAATTAGGTTTCGATCCTGCTTCATCTGATCATATAATTTTTCCACAGGAATGTTAAAGTCGATCAATTTGATTTGATTTCCAGTAGGTATCATAATTAGAATTTGGATGATCTGGTAATTTTTTGTAAACATCATCTTGTGAGAATTCCTGAATATAATATTCATCTTTATGTAAGCATGAAAGGTCATATATTCAATTTTGCACTCCTTATCATTACAATTATGTAACATCATCAAAATTACATTACCATTGACGATTATAAATTGTATATTTTTGTTTCTCGTAACGCCACTCGACTTTTCCTATAGAATAATTGGTTATTCAAACCATTGGTTAAAAAAAGATAAACAAACCATAAATATTAATTTGCTTACTTGATGAAAATAAAATTCCATCCTTCATTGAAAATACATGCACATGTTTTCTAGAATTTTCAATTTTCATTTCTTTAGCGTTTAATTGAAGCAAAACATTATCAAGTTCAAAAAAAATTATTTCATTCTTTATGACTAACGATCATATCTCGAGATGATAATCTATATGAGCACGACTTTTTTGAATTTATTAAAAATGCATTTGAATATACATATATATAATTAAAGTAAAGCTTCCCATTTGGAAAAAATCGTGCATAATTTGTATTGGTATATATTCGGATGTTTCCATATTTCTGATATTAATAACATAAGAACGACAGAGAACCAACAACAGTTTATCGTTTGATAATTCTAGTATCGATTTTAAATTATGCTTAAGAACGTCCTTGTCTAATTTGACAAAGTTGACCGTTTTAGCATAGTGTCAACGTCCCACATAGCCAATAAATTATCAGTATGTTTAGTCACGACATGTTTCATATTCGGTGAAATAACGAACGAATCAATTGGAGCGATACTATCGATTTCGTCATTATTGAGATTACTGTCTTTAGACATAGTAGATTATTATTTCATCTGATTGAATATGTCTTAATTTAACGTACTAAATTTAACGTACTATTATATACGCCAGAAGGTTACACGGAGTATCATGGCGTGTCCTTATTTTGAATTTCCTTTTGAGTAAAAAATAAATATTACGTATATAAAAATTCAATATCGAATCAATATTTATAATTTCATATAACAAAAATAATTTTTTTTCTTATAAATTGATATTAACATACAACAAATTGCTTCGTAGTCTTGTTAATAATTATATTGTACACTTTTTATATTTTTTTTTCTGAAATACTGATTCGATAAAGCTCAGCATTTAATTTATATAGAATAGAATGAAAAATAATGGGATTTATAAATCATATAAACGCAAATATCAACTGAAGGATGCAATGGATTGAATATGTATTAAATAAAAGCTTTACTATAGTAAGTAACAGTATTTAACTTTTCATTTTATAAACAAATAATGATAAGAATAATGCAAGGCTCATTTTATAAAGTACTGCCTCGACGTCGGCTCTCTGTCCTACCGATGGTTACGTTACGAAATTACTGCGAATAATCAAAAAACAACTAATCAAAAAATAAAAAAAAATTACTAATCTAAACTCAATAAAACTGCTTTCTAGTCGGTAGAAAGTCAATCGTTTTTTGTATTAACCTTATTAAGGACAATTTGTTCAGAGGACATATTGACTAAAGAATATTATGACGTGTAAGTATTTTTGTTAGAAGACAATTTGTCCCAAACGGAATAATTCTAGTGGTCATTTTAGATCATTTTGGCCTTTAAAACAGAAAAAAAGGTAAAATATAAATAGATTATTTAAAAAAAAAGATTTGAAACGCCATTGAAATTTTTTTACCACATATAATTTTCATACAATGAGGAGTTTATAACAGATAAAATTTGGACATATAAATCAATTTTCTGAAATATTGGCGATAAAACGTTATTACTTTTTATTTCTATTACTTGTTTCATTCTCGCGTTATTGATTTGCTTGCTTGTAACGCTACTTATTATTTTCCATAAATAATAAATTTCGCTTTATTATTTTATTTCATCTTTTCCTGTCTAAATGGAAGAATTGGAAGGTGAAAAGGTTTAATATTCACGCTTACTAGTTAATCGCTTTTAGAGTAGATTGACAAATATTACAAATTTAATACATTAATTGTTTTCTTCTAGAGTTGAAATAGATTTTAAAATGAAATATTCATTAAAATCTTAGCTTAAATGTAATTTAAATAAAAATAAAATGAATATGAATCTTTGAGAAGACTAACTAAAATTTATTTATTCTAAATATTACGTATTTTAAAACTTAATATTTTAACATTTACCAACGTGATTTTGCAAATGCATAATCATACAGTATGTACATTTGCAAATGCGTTATATTACAGTATGTTTGTTCTTACGAATCCGGTAATTTTCGCAAATTTTGCGCCGTACCGGTTTTCAGCTTTCCAAATACTACTCTATTAATATGCTTAGCAAGAAAATTTTCTGTGAAGGTCGTTCTGGATTTGAAAACGGTGAATTATAGTTTGTTCACCACATCATCTAATTAAATCGAACATATACCGCCTCATGATTATCTTTCCTCCCAATCTATTATATCTTTCAAAATTTATTTCATTCTGAGACTTTCCAACAAACTTGAAAATTAACATCCGGTTGCAAGCCAAGATGGTCTAAATAAGGAGTTAAGCACGGCAATAATATGAGAAATTGTTATTAATGTTACTGATCATATGAATTACTATTTCCGTAACTTGATTTTTAATAGCAAACCTCCCATATATTCGAAAAAAATTCTATTTTTTCGATCGAGATTTATTATTAATGATATAGCTTTTAATTTTAAGCCTTTTATTTAATTGAGAATTTCGCATTGTTGATATTATATCAAATTTGGAATAGCGACTCAGTCATAGCTCAGTCATTTGAAAATTCCGGAGTCGACTCCACTTTGTTTTACAGAGTTGACTTAGCGACTAGTCCGACCAACTGGTACATCTATCTTATTACAAGTTTAAATATCTTTGTATCATTAATTTCTTAACAAGACATTATTCAGCACAGGCTAAGATATAGCGGGATAAAAATATAATAATTGCAAATTTTTACCAAAATATTTTGGATGAGTGACGTGTATAACGAACACCACGACCTATAAACTATACTATAAACTAGCAGGGGGAGAGTGGTAAGAAAAATCGTAAATGGGAAATTGCAAATTTGTAAATTTGCAGAAAGAGAAAATTTGGGAGGTGGTTTGAATAAGGAGTCTAATTTATAATGTAATAGTCTAATTCACTATTACAAACATTATGTCATTGTTATTGCATTACCATTGATTACGAAAATTTTGGACTTTTGTCATCCAATTCCAAAGAATAATTCTGTTTGATCTGAAAGTCTCTTTTCGTCTCGCTTTCTAACCTTTTGTTCTGAATCATTAATAGTCTTTCGGTATGCTCTTATTTCTTCTATCCGTTCTCTAAGCATTTGTTCTAAATTATCTGAATCATTAATAGTCTATCGGTATGCTCCTACTTCATCTTTCCGTTCTCCAACCTTTTTTACTAAATTATTAATAGTCTCTCGGTAGGCTCTTGCTTCTTCTTCCCGTTCTCCAACCTTTTTTTCTAAATTATTAATAGTCTCTTGGAAATATTTAAATTGATTAATTAACGTAGATACTTCTTCAGTTTTTTTTGTTAAATCAAAATTTAAATTCTGAGTGGCTAGTTTGCGGTCATCTAGTTCATCTAATATTTCAGTGATTTTTCGTCCTACTAGTAATTTTTTTAAATCATTTAAATCCTTAATTCCTATTTCATTACATAGCAATTGATTTTCTTCATCTGCATTCTTTTGTCTTTGCTCTAAATCCTTAATTCTCGTTTCAAATTCTTTTAGATTTTTTTCTAGATTTTTTTTTAAAATCATATTGAAATGATTTTTAGTGATTTTTATTTTGCTAGACGAGTTTTCTAAAAGAAAAAGCCCGATCATCGTGGCTTTTATGGACTTTCAAAACTTGAATAGGATCTAACCAATTCCGTCATGAAATCACATTTTTGAGATAAATTAAAAATTTTTTTTTATTTTTTTGCCACCTTGTGTGAGTTTCCTAAGAAATTACTTTTTATCGTCCGTTAGCAAATAAAATAATGGAATTGTCGGAAAAATGGCGCTGATCGGAATTATCTTATAATAAATACCTATCACCATAGACAAATAGTCTATTACTGTATTATGTGAAGTTTAATAAAGCCTTTTAATTTTATAATTAGTATAAATGTTTGTTTTATATTCGTAAATTGAAAAATAAAATATGTGCTTTATAGAATATTAGGCATCGAAGTATAAATATATCCTTCACGTGATTAAACTTTATATAAAATATAATTTGACAAACCTCGCTAAAAAGGTAGAATCGCAAAACATAGAAACTTGCTTTATTAACTATATCAACTATTGATTGACACGAATGCACAGCTCAAATGTGTGTCAGGTTATGCCGATTATATGGCTTAAAGTAGGTTGCGCATTTTTCAAAAAAAAAGCGTCTAAGTCAAATTTTACTGCAAAAACCCAACCTGCCGCCTTAAGTAAACTTACAGTACGAGCAAAAATACACCTACTTATATAATATTTAAGTCTAAATATAATGTTTATTAAGGTTTGGTTTCGAAGAGAAAAAAAATTCGTAGAAAATTGTCTGTGGCGCAAGTATGTCGATCATTTCCAAAAAAGTATTTTTTTCGGCATAACCTGACACACATTTGAGATATGCGACACGAATTAAGAATTACTCATTCGAATTATTCGAATCACGAGTTGACACGGTAATAAATATATTCTTCCTAATATAGTTAAATTTTGCGGAGTCACGATATTAAATGTAAATATTGTTAACAACGGAAACAAGGAATAAACTAAGACGAAATTATATTTATAAATAAATTATTCACTTAAATAATAACAATGTCACATATTATAATTTACTTAGCCGATAATTGGTCTGATAAAGTTACTATAAATAATAATGGAAATTCACACGATTCACATAATCATGATCAATTACATTTATGAAATTATATATTTAATAATTTATACAATTGCATTTGGGTTGCTTATGATTGAAATTAAAATAGCGTTCAATAGAAAATTTTATATATTCCATAAACAAATATTACAATGTACTTTGCACTGACTGATTAAATCTAGCGTTAATATGAAATAATCACTTTTTATTGGTTTATGTAAAAAATACCTTGTTTGGAAGGAGACAAAGCAGGGTATCAAAGAAATTAATGTAATTTATTACGAAAGCAACCTGAATTACTTTTTATACCACAAATATGCAATTTACAATTATTATAAAGTATTATTTTTTTCCAAACGAGTTCAACTAAAGATATCGTCTAATATAAATCTAGATATGTATTCACTTTTTTTTTTTTAAAAAAAAATATGATTTAATTTTGATAAATATATGGAGACTAAAAAATAAAATAAAAATCTTTAAAAAAATGATAAATACATAATATTCACACTAGTAAAACTTCCATCTTTAAATAATTTATAAAAATTTATGAACGAACAAAAATCGCTTACATAAACTATCAGTGTTTCTTTAAGATAATCTTAAGGACCTTTGACTAATACCTATTGTTATTTGAATAATATATTCTTTAAAATGTTTAATAAATAAAATGACGAAACTTATGCAAAAAAATTATTATTGAACGAAATTTTGGATTATTAACGTCGTCGGATTTAGAAAAGTAAATGTTCATATTAGTTAAATATTTATAGATTTTTAATTATAATAATTCAATTTTAGACGAATAAACTCTAATAATATGTTATTCGGTTTTATTCAAGTAAAAAAAAATAAATAACAACATATTAGATCAACTTTACAACTCTTGTTTTCTATACTATATACACAACCACACGTGCTCCGTTATTTTCAAGATTTAGCTATGAAAGAGTGATTCTTAAAGATGTTATTAATATTCTTTATTTCGCTAGTTCCGAATTGTCGAATATTTTAGATTTGCCATGCATTGGTTCATAATTTCAAAAGTTATCACGTGTTCAATATTTTATATAATTTAAAAATTAACACATGAAATTTCCAAGTACAAACATATTGATAATTTAAATTTAGAAACTTATTTCGTACAATGGTTATTTACGTATTATTATTTTATCGTCAATACTGCATAAGGAACGTGATTTATGCGGTTGAAGATTCTGATTAAACAATTATGGTTTGTCGATCTAATCTTGGCGTGAAAAAATGCGATGTTACGCAATGTCGACTTTTCTGATTTATCAAAAAAAAAAAAAATTTAAAAAAAAAATTTGGAAAAAAAATGATCTATATCAATCCAAAGCACTTTATTATACGAGTCATATACAATTCCAATGAACATCTCTTGATCAAACAAGTGTTTGGAACTGAGCCTCGAAAAAAAAAAATTAAAATAAAGTTTAGACCACCTAAAGAAGGAATAACTTTCCTAGAATCTGCTAGAAACTGATCTGTCATATCGCTATCACCATATCTCATTTTTAAGTTTTTCTTTTTTTTTTTTTTTTTTCTTCCTTTTTTGAATGATTTGTAAACAACGAAAAAATTCGATGGTTCGACAAACGATAAACATCTTAATCATGTGTGAATCCTCATAAACAATGTTTGTAACATTTTATTTTCTTTCACGTCTTTTTAAATATTGTCTCTCTTTTTAAATTTAAGTTTCACCATTTCCTTTTTTCCCTGGCTTCGTTACTTTTTTGTGACTCATCAATGAAAGTTGTTTGCAGCACAGGTCTCGTTACTTATATTAAAACAATAACAATATTAAAAAACCCCCGATCACATCCATTTTTAAACATTCTGTACTCCGAAATAAAAATTGATGTGATTCTGTGCGACAGTTAAGAACTAATCGCGGGAGTTCAATTAATATCACCTCACAACTCATTCGCCCTATGGTGACATATTTTCCAAAATTGTAGGGTCGAGAAGACCTTTTGGAACTGTTAGTCGAATTCCGATTATAAATATATCTGGTTCACAAATATTTATCAGGACCAAAAAGTTCAAGTAAGGCGCAGCAAATCAATTAAATACGTTTATAGTTAAAATCCTGCTGCAAATCCTTGCTGAAAATTCCATAATTCAATTCAGTTGCATAAATTGTTCTCAGGTATAAATAACGTCGAAAATTTCTTTTATTTCCAAAAATCTCAATTTCAAATCGTCGATAAATATGGAGTTAATCAAGATAAATGAAGATGAAGAAAATTCTTTCGACCCAACTTCAAAGTTAAAATCTAGCCCCGTTCAAATTCTGTTCATCCCTTTTATTGCAAGTGAGGTTAAATGCATTCATTGTGGAAATGAGTTTACCAACGCTGTAGATAGTTGCCAAAAATATTGTAAGAATTGCTTAGCATGGTACATCAAATATTTAACCGATGATGACAAGTATTTGGATTTGCATATCGGTAGAAATAATATACAATGTATTCAACATAAACCACTAAGAAATTCGGATTATTACACTCAAAGTATTCAAGAGTGGTGTAGTGTATGCTCGGAAGTTTTTTATTTTAGACAAATCATAATAAATTATTCAAATTATTTGTCCATCTCGATTAAAAGATATAGTTATCAAGAGTTATTTAAAAATTGTAAATTATGTAATAAATACGTCAAGTTGGATGACTTATGCTCGGATTGTTATAAAATTTCTTTTGAATTTATTGAATCAACGATTGTTAAAGCGCTTATTCCGGTCCTTTACTTACCTTGGTGGGATGCTGTTAAGTGTTGTTTTCTTTGTGAGAAAGAATTAAAAAGTGTATCTGAATGTCAGAAATGGTGTTCAGCTTGTTTGATAATATATTCTGCTTGCCGATATTGTTTAACGACCAATGTTATTTTTGGGGTCACAAATCTCACCCATTGCAAGAAATGCAAGAGAACATCCTTAATAACTATAAATTCCAAACGCATTCACATCAGTGGAAATGACAATATAGATGGGTTTCTTTTTTATACAAGGTTAAACAAATATTATCAAATTGGTAATTGCGTGAATAATATTAGCAATCCCTTGAATATATTCAGTTCCATATTGGAAAAGTTTGGTAAATATCCTCAAAAATCGATAATAGAATGGATCCCATATTCTCAGTTTACAAACTTTATAAAGGTAGGGGAGGGTGGTTTCGGCATTACTTTTAGAGCAAATAGGTTACGTCCTAAAAATAATCAAAATGAGATTGTTGCGATGAAAAGATTGTTTAATTCTCAGAATATCAGCAGACTTTTCCTGGATAAGGTAATTAGTTTAAACATTATATACTGCTATTATATTCTAGATTTAATATTTGTTTTTTTTGAATTTAGTTGAAGTCAATATTTAATTGCTATGAAAATAACGGTCGAATCATTGGATGTGATGGATTTACGCAAGACCCCCAAACAAAAGATTTTATGATAGTGATGAAGTATGCAAATGCAGGAGACTTGCATAATTATTTGCAGACAAATTTTAACTTTGTCACATGGAGAATAAAATTGGACATTTTATGGAGAATTACACATGGGTACTTTCATTTTTTTATTTCTCGGAAAAAAAACTTAATTAATTCATCGTAACTAATTTAACCGTTCCTTTTGATTCAGGCTTCTTACTATTCACGAAAAGAATTATGTACATTCAAATTTTCATAGTGGGAATGTATTATTGGAATATACAAAGTATAATAAGGAATGGTACATCGGAGATTTGGGTTTATCCCAACCTGCAAATGTTACTTCATCTAATGATGAATTACATGGTATCATACCTTATATTGCACCCGAAATATTTCTTGGTGAAAATTTTACGCAGGTTTCGGATGTATTTAGTTTGGGAATG